TTCCACCTCTAACACCTCACACCCAAACCCCCCTTGTGTCCTCCTCCACTATGCATCCATCCTATCTATTTCTTGGCTTTCCGACTCTCTTAACCCCAAAATCGTTATGATATTTATGCTTCATAGCATATTAAGTGTGTAGTGAACTACACATAGATCATAACAGCAACACGTATCTCTTGTTCTCGGAAGGTATATTTCATCCGCAGTTTGATTTGGTTGTGATTAATGTTGATGACCCCTTTGCCAGAGCTTTTACAGCCATAGATAATTGGTAAATCTAAAACTAAAAGAAAAGAAATAAGAAATTAGATGCTATGGCTTTAAATATAAACAAATACAACGACTAAATGTATAAGAAAATAATTATCTGCTTCAAAGTTTAAATAAAGAGTTCAAAGAATATTACTTATTATATAAGTGTCGCTTGTCTTATTCTCTCCCTCGTATAAATTTCTCTTAAATCAATAGAATTACTCACTATGCATTTGTCTTTCCACATCTGCCGTAACATAACGTGCTAAATAATACTAAATGCTTCATGTTATAAAATATCTTGAATTAGGTTCATCAGAATTCTATACATAGAAAGTGTCGATGTAGAACAAAAATGATGGTTCCTCTAATTCCCTGATTTAGTTGGGGTGTGTGGTTTTGAAAGTGCCTACGTGAGCTTCTAAACGTACCGCTTCTGCTTTCAATTCATTTCGAAGGAGGAGACGTTGACATAGTTGAATAGAGGATAGAGAACGGTTTCAGTACCTGGTGACATTGAGAGCCAGGCACCAATTTTGTACGTAAGTCGAACAAGAAACACCCGCTGGTATTACTAATAATTCATTTTATACAAAAATCCTTATATTCATCCTTCTTCATTCAAAAAAAAAATTAACTTAATAAAAAGAAAATGTAAAAAACAAAAATTTATTAGGAAATCAAGTTCGGCTTGAGTCTTTAAGTGGTCGACGTCATTCAAATCAAATGTTGTTTTTATTGAATTAATGAATGATGTCTTGGCTGGTGCTGTCACAAAGCCCATTGGAAGCGTTTTATTTAAGCGGCATGTGAATATTTTTAAGATAAGCCCTGACCTCTGGTATGGTGTGAGCAGCACGAATCTATTCTTATCACAACGACTTAATGAAAATTTCGTGACATGGCGTTTTTTTTCTACGCGTTTCTCTTTTAACCCATTTATTAGGCGACGCCGCCAGGTCTACGTTAAAAAGCCTATATACGTCGTAATATACGACGTAGGGAACGTTTTCGGCCCGTTATGTTTTTTTACAGAAACAGAAAAAAAGGCGAATTCTTGGAATAGTAATTCATTTTAAGGTATACAGGGAGTTACAGAGAAAAAAAGTTCGATTAATTTCATTTGTAAGAATTTCGTGTTAACATTTAACTTAATTTACTTCCATGAATACATATGAAAATTTGGTTTAGAATACCATAATTTTGAAAGTTTCACGAAAGAACGGATTTATGGGTAGTTTTAAAATTGAAATGAATGCAACTCCCCCCGAGGGGGGTTACTGGCACAGTGCCAATCTTCGATCCTCTGTAATGGTACTCTGAATAAGTGCTAAGTGAAAATTACGCCAATGTTGGTTTGTGAATGTTTAATATCTACAGCTAATGTAAACTCTCGATATGAAGGAATCAAGGAAAATCTTAAAATTATAGATATTTCCATTTTAAATAATTTGAACAGGAAATGAAGCAACTTTTTACTTCGAAATTGTGACGATCAAAAAGAACTTAAGATTACAAAATATAATGAAAATGTAAACGAAAGGACGGTTTAATTATATTTTTCCTGCATTTTTAGAAAAATTTATGATTAAACTTTCGAGGTTTCGCTTTGAAAGACAAATTACCTTCTTCTACTGAAGTCTGATATTTAAGAGTTGCGTTGACTGAAACTTTGTATTCGCCTGGACTGTTAACATGTTTAAAAATAAAGCTCGTTCTATGTTTGGTTTCAACGTTTCAGTTTCTGTTTATAATTCTACGATATTTCTACTTTTGGTATGAAACATTTATAGTAGTAGTAACTTTTTTTTATTTCATTTGAAAATAAAAAATAAACTTTATGTTGAAGCACTTAAAACACAGATTTATAAGGAATACAGTAAAACCTTGATATAATGGATTAATATAACGGGGTTCATGTTTCTAGTTCTGGGTTCAGTGTTAATTCTACTTTTTGTTTATAACAATATACAACAATCGCTAAGCAGCAATAGCGCTGTATAACAATTAAAATTAGAACTACCGTCCTTGATTTATACATCGTATAGACAACGAAGTCTGTTCTAAGAAGGTTTTACTGTATTTAAATAAAATAGATTTTCAAAAAGATTTTTAAATAAATTTGAACGTTAAATTACATTGAAAATTTCCGACCATATAAAACAGTTATTTGTTTACAACGCAATGTTAGTGCGTAAAGTTGACCTTCCTTGTATAATAACGAATATTACGACGCAATTGGTACATTGATTGTTCGTGACATAGTAGTGATCACAATAAATTTAACGTTTTCATCGGTGATACACTACCAAACCAAACCAAACAAACAGCTTCTTTTCCACTTTATTTTTTCGCACGAGCGCTCTTAAAAGACGGATCTATTTCAGGTGGTTGTGTAACCTTGTTACCAATATCGTCCTATTTTATTACCCAATATAAAAGTGCAACTATCGACTCTTATTTAAAATTCAAATACTACATCAACAAAAAAATGATTCGAACTAAGTCTAGAATGTAGTTAAAAAATCTAATTTAATATTTGCAGATCACATTTACTCAAGTAGTGAAAGCAAACGAACTTTGATTGAAAACATTGATTATAGACAATTATTTCTATTTCTATATTTGAAAAGTCGATAACGGACACAAATGTTATTGCACTTTGTCGCAAGATTTATGAGAATACTTCATCTTTGATCTCACGTTATTTACAATAAAAAATTATTAAAAAGGAAAAGCTAATTAGAGTAGCAATAAACAAACAAATCGAATCCAACCCAGATAATGGAATTTCTTGTAACGAAACGCTACGAAACGATTTGTATTAATAGAATTGGCGCCTGGGTTCGTCAACAATTACAATCAGACCTTCAATTCCATCAACAAAGTGATATCATAAATTCCAAACAATAGTGTTTTCACTTTTCGTAGAAAAGAGATTAAAATGAATAAAACATTTTTCATTTCAACTTGGAGTTGCAAAAGCAGTGCGAGGACACTTTGAGTCACAGAGATTGAATCAAATCAGATTATTGTTAATTTATGTTTTAAAACTGCGTGCTTGCAGAAGATTAAGAACAGAATATAATGTACAGAGATTTCATAGAAAGTAATGCCAAAGCTAATATAAGCGTTTCGGTGAAATTACAAAACTTCTCTACATTCTTTAAATCTTAGAAGAGGAAATTATTATTCATAATCTCCGATTGCCCACGACCCAATGATAAAAAGCAGTATTGTAACTTTCTCGTATATACAAAGTCAGGAAAGCTTATTAAAGTTGTAAACTACTTCAAAGAATTTTTGAAAGATTTTCAAGCATTTTCTCATAATTTTCAAAGAAATCCAAAGGTTTATAAGGGTTTTCAGCAATATTGAAAGATTTCTGAGATTTATTTGGAAAGTATGGGAGTTTCAACAACTTTTGGAGTATCTTTAAAATAATTTTCAGATTTCCATTTCTATGTATTTTCTAAGGATTTTCAATATCCACCAATTTCAATGATTTTAGAAATAGTTTCAACAATTTTCTGATTATCTTTAATAATTTTCAGATTTGTTGAGAAATCTTACTAAGTCATTGGATATGTGTGAAAGTTCTTAAAAAATATGTCTGAAAAAAAAATTGGATTCAAAGAAAATTTTATTTTGAAGTTAATTGATACAATTTTTTCTGAAAGTTTAGTGTTGTGCATTAATTTTGTGAATTATTTACCTTCTATTTATCGATTGCTATTAATTAATTTGTAATGGAATGGAAAGGCAATAATTGTTAATGAAACTGGAGTTGAACGAATAGTTTATCTACATCGGTTAAAATTTATGTATAAATGCATGGTAGGTGTGCGGGTAATTTGTAGATTGCCTGGAAACTTCCTGTTATAGAGATATAATTGGATAAGCGATCTCATTTCATGGTGATATCTTAGAATAGAACAACTTCCTACAGATACTCGATATAAAAACGATATATTTTTATTATTTTCTTTATTTTAAATTCTTTAAGATGTTAGATAATGTCTAATAAATCGTCGTAGTCGGAACTTTTAAATAATTAGGCCTTTTAAACGAACAATTTATTTTTGTCGGTCCATTTAAACTTGGAAAGCCATGAAAGTGTGTTTACTTTCACCTCGCTCATCTTACGACGGGAACAAGGATGCCTATTTTTCACCTATTCTATTTGGGCCGCTAACTTTTTTTCCTCCATTTTTTTTCATTCCCACCTATTAATGTTATTAGCGTGAACATTAAAGCAATGGCAAGGCCACATAATGGTGTGTCCGTTTTTCGTATGGATTATAGTCGAGGTTACTCAGCTCGCGGCTTCAAGGTCACTATCCTTGAGCAAAAAAGTTCGCGACATTTCGGGATTTGGCCTTCCGCCAACATTAGCCGTTGGCTGTCAACGTTTTGGCCACATGCACTGAAATGGGGGCCCGCAACCTACGTAGGCAGTAACAGCAGCAGTGAAGGCTTTAACTCGTCCAACGATCGATACTCTATTTTCGTGCCGTAGTCTATTAATCATTCTTAAAGGAAAACGCCACTAATTTACCGGGATACTATTAGGTTTTAACCTACTGAGGCAGCTGAGCTTTTTTATGCATGACCGGAAAAAGCCAGTTGAATTATCGGTATACACATAGTGGAAACTTTTTTTATGTGTCTAGCGAAGTCAATTAACTTAGATTTGAATGTAGTTTTTTTTTAGTATCTAAATTGAATAATTATTTTTTTTTTAGGTGGAACAAAGGGATGTACCAGGCATCGATTGGGCGTACCTCGCAATGGATACGGAGGAAGGCGTCGAAGTGGTCTGGAATGAAGTTCAATTTTCGGAAAGGAAGAACTTCAAGGCTCAAGAGGAGCACATCAGACAGGTCTTCGAAAATCTCACTCAACTCGAGCACCCGAATATTGTCAAATTCCATCGTTACTGGACTGACACACACAACGATAAACCTAGGGTATGTTATTTAATTATTTGTGATTTAGAAAATCTTAGATTGCAGTTTGATGTAGTATAGATTAGTTTTTTAAAGCTTTCTAAAACAAAAAGAGAGATTCGCATTCCTATTTAACGTTCAAGGTTAATTAAGAAAAAAAACGGCTCTAATTGGTTTAACGATTATATATTAGTATTTACACGTTAATTAAATTAATTGCTTAATTTTACACATTTATTTTTCTGTTTAGGTAATATTTATAACGGAATACATGTCCTCTGGTTCCCTGAAACAGTTCCTGAAGCGCACAAAGCGCAACGTCAAGAGACTGCCACTTCAAGCTTGGAAGCGATGGTGCACACAAATCCTCTCAGCTTTAAGGTAACTAAACCACATTTGCTAAAAACACTAAATCTGGCGTCCGATTAGGTTTAGTTGGACGCGTTTTTTACATTTAGTATACCGTATTTATTTGTTAGTTTTTACGGCATATACATGTTGATGATACACATTTTATGACTATTAATACAGAGCGATTGCCCTCAATTTCGAACATGTGTAGACATTTACTCCTGAAAAAGTTATATGACCTAGTTTGTAAGGGAAAATGTCTCTAGTTCTAACTATTCGTTATTAGGCCGCTCAAGCTCTCCAATATTATTTTTTGTTTTTGTTTAAAACTCTGTGTTCACAGCGTGGTCTGCGCAAAGGTAAGTGACACGTTGTGTAGGGAAGCATCTTTAATCAGAAAAAACTTTATTTTTAAGAAAACGCTTTTATATCGCTACAAGAACTCTACCATCGTTTTACCATTAGAATTAAAAAAAGAGTATATAAAAGATGGCACAAGAATGACTACATACTGGACTACAATATTAAGAAAAAAATGATTTTTATATAATTATTAATGATTAATCGACGTTAATACAAGATATTTCAAACATTTTTGGGTTTTATATGTTCGTATTCTGTGTTATACAGATCACGATTCGGTTCTAGTCGAATGTACACAAAAGCAGTACCAGTTGTATTTGATATATCTATTATCGACTACGTGTTCATATGAATGATGTCTGTGTTCGTGTTCTGAAACTAACAGTATTCGGTGAATTGTGCATATAAATCTATGGGGATGAATTGTTTTGTTTAATATTTTTGATTATTTATATTCCTTTTTTTGTTACACTTGTTATGTTAATACTTTCAATTTTATTACATCCATTTATGGTGATCATAAATAAAAAATTAAGTTTTACTGCGAATTAGCTGTTTAAATAATCATTAAATTAGAAACACCATTAAGTCACAAAATTGATAAAATACATAATGATAGTGATGTTTGCACAAGATTTTATTGGTTTTTATATAAAGATTTTTGGATATATTATTTGGTTCGAATTATATAGCAATTTGACAAAGAAAATGGAATACTTCTTCTGTACAACAGCAACAACAACGATTCTCCCCATAAAAGATACTCATCCCCATTTCGTTGTAATAAGTAATAACAAAACAGTAAACCCCAAAAATGAATTAAAAACAAAAATACACTTGTTGGAATGAATGTTAGTTATGAACCATAGAATCATATTTAATAACACTTATCGTTCAATACACCATCTTATTCATCGCACTTCATACTTAAGTAATCATAAATTTTTCCAATTTTTCAGTTGTATTGTTTCAAATCTCGTTAATTATACGTCAATTAATTATGTTTAAATTTATTTAAATTCATACCAATAAACTTCTTATTTAGTATGTGGTCCATTCTACGTTTTGGAAATTTTCGACTTTGACGCCAGCGTAAAGATATTCAATAAAATCGAACAAATTTAACATCGGTGTAAAACGGAGTATCCTAAGTGTGTTTGGGGAAGGATGAATGATTGCATTAGTAGGAAAGAGAAAGCGTCCGAGGACGACGTACTAAACGAATGTGTTGAAAGAATGGGTTAGATTAAAAATAAAGTAGAGCAAAAGTGAGTACTGGCGTCAGTATGTCAAAATTGTCCCGAAACCTCTATACCTTTCCAGCAAGATTGGCCGGCCCGCATCAGTACTGATATCTCCAGTGTGTTTTCTTTCCAGTTACTTGCATTCCTGTTCTACGCCAATCACCCACGGCAATCTCACCTGTGATACCATATTTATTCAACACAATGGCCTCGTCAAAATAGGATCAGGTAAACATGCAACGATCTGACATTCATTTTATACAAAAAAAAACCATACAGAATAAAATTAATGTCGTGTGCCTGACAAATTGTTATTTATTATTATATTATTGCCCTATCTTGTTCTATCTCTATGATTGTTATTACGACGTGATGAATTTGTTTTTGTAAAAAGATCGATTACTACTTTTTGCGATATTGTTGCGCATTATATTCCTTTTTGCCGAATGACCGATCGAATGGGTATTGGCTTAACTATTACGTTTCGTGCAGAACTCTTCGATTCACAATCTTTCTGGGCAACTGTAGTTTTTTTATATAATTCTTATTCCAATTTAGAGATATCACCGAAAACAGTGCCTTGATTGTTTTGTATTGAAAAGTGGAAATTCTGTGCGGGACAGGCGGGAAGTGGGACGTCTCTGCGCCCGTTAATCTGATTTGGAGTATGCCCGTTGCCTGAGGATAGGCGTCATTGCCGAAACGTTGTTCTTCCTTGGGACGGAGCCATAAACCAGATCCGATATTCTGTAAAATGGGTGTAGAGCCCGACCGCATCCCAGTCGAATTCGACACCGATCGTTGGTAATTTAATGTCCTATAATGAAATTAGGGTGAAAGGACGTTTTTTTTTGTTATTTTGGGGGAAACGGTGTCGAAAACGATTCGATGGATTTGCCGGTATCGATTAACGGCCATTGGCTTCCTTCTACAGCTCTAAACGGAGATGTCATTGATCTTTCTCTTCTTTAGTGGCACCAGAGCAGATTCACCATCATGTCAAAACGTATCAGGACAGTATCAAAAATATGCACTTTGTCGCGCCAGAATTCGCACAAGGAGGTAAGTAATGTTTATTAAAAGTAAATTATAAAGGAACGTTGTAAATCTTTTACTACATCATTTAAAATGAAATAACAGGATTTAAACATAAACTAAAACAAAAATACGAAACGTAACCGTTTCGTATATAACACAAAGCCGTCATTCATTTAGTTCACGGCTGTTTAACGCTGAAAGAGAAAATTTTAACTACCATTTAGAGATATTTTTAAAACTAGTTACAGATCATAAACCACGTATTTTACTTCAGCATTTCGCTCGATTTAAAACGATATAAAAAAACGAACTAAATTCATGATTAAAAAAAAGGGTTTTAAAAGCGAAATGTGTTGCTTTACATCAAAAGCATCTCAACAAAGTAAGAGGTTTTTTTTTCTTCATTTAGCAGAAATATTTACCATTCGCAAATTTCGATTTGGGTTTATCAGAACATCCATAGAGTCTAATAGCTATTGCGTCAGTGCAACGAACGCCAAGAACGCAAAAGTATAAACATCAGCCTCGAACGGTTTGACGTACGACCTAATAAATTTTGTATTTTTCACTACATTGTATGTGTGTGAGCAAAACACTGTAAATAGATTCCAACCGCAGCTGTTATTTTATTTATTTTTTATAGTTTGGAATCATTTTAGTTTTTTGAGAAATAAGACGAATAAAAAAATCAAATCGAGTGTGGATTGTTTAAAGTTAGAATGGTAAAATTTAAAGGTACAATGCTTTATGTTCACATTTTTTTGATTAATATTTTAAAAATTATGAATTTAAGAAGGTTATTTAAATTGTCATTGGTGCATTCAATTTGTAAAATAAGACACAAATTGATATTAACTTTATTAGTAAAAACTGCAGAAATATAGATAACGATTAAGAATTATGATTTTATAAAGAACAGCCAATTTTCATTTCATCATGTTACAATTATCAGTGCAAATTGAAAGTTTATCGATTTTAAGTCAACAAAGTTTGATTTGTGCTAAACACAGTTTCCTATAATACGAGTGTGTCGAAAATGGTATTAATTAATTTATTTGAGTTAGTTTGGTTTGATTTGATTGCACTTTTAACTGCTTCGTTTAGATTATTTTCAGCTGTTTCAAATTCACTAATCTATAATTAAAACTAATAACTTTCTTTCTGCACCCCATAACGACTTGTGCTTGTAAAAGAATCAAATGAACGATCTTCAAATATCTATATCTGTTTGGTTCTTCAATCCTCGATGATTCATTAACTTTGCTCGTATATCAAGTGTTAATAATAATCATATAGAAAAAATTCTTCCAATATGAATTGATTAGGTCTAACTAGATGTTAACATTACTTATAAATTCGTCATTCGCGGATTGATAAAAAAATGTTATTGTTTTATCAATTTAGAAAACAACTGTGATATCTGAAATGTGTTTCTTAACGCTTTGATATATAGCAAATGGCTCTCTGAGTATTGGGAAACAACATAAAGAGGGTCCCAGAACACTATTTTTGCATAAGCCCTATAATGTAAATTAAAATCACAAAGAATATCTTTTCATTGCTGCCAAATCCTATATTATGAGACACAGAAATAAGTAACTGAGTTTGTTGTTATTATTTAAAACTTTGATGTTTTATCGTGAAACTTATTGCCTTATGTTATAATAAAGATAAAATAGTTCCTTAATAACAAACTGAAAATGTCATCTGAACATGATAGACAATGACAAAGTTTGTAGCTATATACCAGACTTTTTTGTTATATGTGAATGTAGCTGTATGTTTTAAACAATGGAACTTTCCGCATTGTGTTCACTACACTCTTCACAAAGAACTTTTTGCAATATGACAAAAGATGGAGTCTTCAGCACAGAGTTCTCTCCCTCACTCTTAGTCGACTTCTTGATTGATGTCTAATTCAAAAAACTTACCTCAAACTCAAATCATTTCCTTTTATTGAAAGGAGATGCATCACTCTTCTTTAATTGTTTTAATTTCTTTCTGTTACTTGGGGTAAATTGGTACAATACAAAAAGGCACTATATGTGATTAAAAAAATGTAACATAAAGCAATTAAATCGTACGTTATTTCAAAGTTACCTATTCTCTTCTATTCAACAATGTTAATTATCTTATCGACATAGATTGCGTTATCTACGAGATTCGCTCACGTTTGTTCTATCGTCTATGTTCATTTTGTGCGAATCGTCATGGTAAACCTCACGTAGACTCCTCCAAAGACCCGCCTGTTTCCTCATCAGTTTTAGTTTAATTGTTATATTAGTGATAAATTAAAAGAAATATCAATGTTTCAATAACCATTTGGTAACTAATAAACAAAAAAAAAAGAAAAAAATTTGATAAAATAGTTTACACCAAGTATAATCGAACTATCTAAATTTAGCTTTTTATCATCGAATACATATAGTTTGATAACGTTTGTTTTTGTTTCTATTCTTAATTTATTTGTTTAGCTTCCTAACTAAATTGTTTTTTTTTGTAGTAAAATCAAATCCTGCCATGGACATTTACGCTTTTGGTATGTGCGCCCTGGAGATGGCCGCATTAGAAATCCAGGGAAACGGCGACTCCGGAAACGTCGTCACCGATGAAAATGTCGAGAAAACCATTGAATCGCTGGAAGACAACCAACAGAAGGACTTCATCAAGCTTTGCCTAAACAAGGACCCATACTTTAGGCCGACGGCGCCACAACTTCTGTTCCATCCGCTTCTCTTCGAGGTTCACAGTCTGAAGTTGTTAGCCGCACACTGTTTAGTTAACAAAAGTGCAGGTAAATTTTTTTAATTCAAAAATAAATATTAAAATGTTGCGAGGTAAATTTTATATTTGTTAGTAAATTACTAATATATATTTTTGTCTTGATGACGTAAATAGTCTTTGATAAGATATTAAACTATCAGTAAATCATTTTCTTCGACCGTGTTTGCGAGAACAAAGCATTTATTGACATAGTACGAAAATTGTTGGTTTTAATTAAGATTTTGAGTGTATAAAGATGTTGTAAGTAGTTTTTTCATTATAAAATCAAATACCTATCTGTATCTTTCACACGTTTCAATATCTAATAAGTTTGAAAATATTGGATAAATGAGATAACTATGAATATTTTGACCTCCCTAATCGCCAAAACGTGATGTGTATGAATTCATTGTGTAAAGACATTAATTTAACCCGACCATTAAGGGAGGAAATTATTGCACTCCTGTTGTATGGCTTAATTAGTAGATCGAGTAAATAGAATTAGATTGAGTTGTGCGTATTAATTTATGGGGTTGGATTTATTAAATCTTCGCTATTCGTTTACTGGATTACAAAAAAAGTTGCCGTGGCCGACCTTTGGATATCTTGCGATCAGCTATCATTTGCCTTTTCAAGTAGGTCTCTTTCTGTGAGTATCCATTTCCGCTCAAAATGATTTGAAGTTTATCTATCTAAGCAGGATGTTTGCATTTGAATACCAAATAAATTCTTTGTAAACAAAAAAATAAATAGTAATTTGTGCAATTCATTTTTTGCTACAATTCAGACTCAATTACCACTTGAATAGAATTATTCTGCAATATGGATAAAAGCTTGAAAATGATCGCCTTCGAGGCTTATACAATTGAAAAATTCAAGGCTGAAACCACAAACCTGGAATGTTATAGAAAATTTCTCTTATCTAGTTTATACTTAATCTTTTTTAAGGAAAATTTCTATAAAGACGGGAGGAATAGATAAAAAAATCTTTCTCTTGGTACCTTTATTTTTCATGGATTGTATCTGCTTCTATTGTTTTGAATGAAAAATCTTAACAAATAATATAGTTACTACAATTTTGTGTTGCGTTATACAACTGAGTAATTTGTGATTTTATTCGGTTTCTGCTGTGCTTTGTTCCGCATGTTTAACGTTATTTAGTGTATCGTAAAACGTCATGTTGAGTAACAATTCCTTTGATGTCACAATATATGCCTCTCCACAATTTACTATTTTTTTTTTGAAAGATTAAATAACATCAATACAACTTCAATTTAATCGTGTTTCCAAAAATAATCAGTACAACAGTATTTAAATTTATTTTCTAATTAATTTATTTTATGCCATGCGTGTAAAATTACTCAAAGGGAATAGTGAGGTAGAATCGCTGCGGTAGAATCGCATCAATATCCATGTTGAAGGTTTGAGCATCTGCGCGAGTTAATGGTAGCGACGTAGGTATAGATTTTTCCTCATTTTAAGTTTAGTTCTCAATACGAAATCCTTTGAGAATTATTCTAATTACTTAACTTTTTTCTCATTTAAATTATGCATAATATTAGAACAGGGATAGATCGCGTGCAAGTATCTAATACTAAACTCAAAAGGTCTATTAAACGCGATAAGGTTTATAATGGCAATAAAAGCAGTAAAAATAAAATAATAAAATGCTGCAAAATGAATGCTGTGTTTTCTGTTGACGATGTTAGTGTGGATTCATCAAACGATGTAATTTGTATCGATTATGACACTTTAACATCTTTGCGGTGTACAATACCAAGATTGATGCTTTGTGCGACAACCATAGACGTGATTGATTTTAAGTATCTATTTATTTAACTAGTAATTTTGACCTGATTTAATTGCAAGCTAAGCGGTAATTACGCTGATGTGTTAGATGTCATCGGACATTTGGGTAAACATTATACGGAACTAGATTGTATAATTCTGTCGGGATGCTGTTATGATTTAATTAGTAAGCGCAGGGATATCTATTTATACGTTAATTTATGCAAAAGAAAATGGAATATATTCTGGAGAAAGGTAGTGTCATTTTATCTTGCTGTATCTTATTGGAATAATAAAGTGTGTATTGGAATAAAAGATTCGGCATAAAATGTCTTATGCGATATTATGAAAAATTCAATGTGAATTATCTGTAATTTTATGTCCTTCTTTTAACTGTAACCTTGAGATATTTTATACCATTCTTGTAACTACTTTGAATATTCTAAGCAGTCACGACCAGGTTATGGTCGCTTTTGTGTGTGAGCGTATGTTGCAGCTTCTAAATTGGTGATTTCTTTTGTTGTTATAAATACAATGTATTTGCTCCAAGAGGAACGAATTATGTACATAATTTTGTCTACTTATTACATTATTCAATTTCGGCGTTTCTGGCAATCTTTCTGAGTTTCACAGTATTTCTCAGGACTTCAACATAATCTTGAATCCGTTCGTAATTCTTATAATTTAATGATTTGATGAATGTTAACGTTGAATATTTATTGTATGCTGATCAGTTATGTATTCAAATTACATCGAATACACGTTCTTGTTGGCCATGGGTAACTTAATAAGTGTCGGCAAGTCTTAATTAATCCTTGCATTATCTCCGCACGCTATTGAGTACTACCAGAACTATTCTGATATCATTTTGGCATAACTTTATCCTCTCATTTTACCATAACTCTTCTTCTGTCTCTCTTCTCTCTCCATATTGATTCTTCCATTCTACTTTTTCATTGCATATTCTTTCATTTATTGTGGGAATGTTCAAGTATAAAGATCATAGAGCAATTTGAAATATTTGAAACAAAAAATCAGAAATGCTTGCCATATTTAGAATTTACAAAGTTTGTCTATCAAAAATCTTCAACAACAACAGTTTCAATATAACAAGAAGACTTACGTTTCTGTTTTAAGTTCTACGAGATGGAAATCTACATTACTTTCAATCTAAGTGCTATTTAACGTTTATCAAGTTAACGTTATGATTACATTTTTATACTAAAATAAATCTAAAGCCATAATTTTTTCAAATGATCCATAACATCAATTATTTTAATTAGAAAAATTCTTCAAAAAATGTCTATTTTGCAACAAACACGTGTGAAAGATACAAAATGCTTTATAATAAACGATGGTAAAAAAATTCATTTTTATTTTTCAACGAACTTTGTATACGACAAGAAAATCTTCTCATTTATTTTTATTGATGGTCTTGTCGGATTGACGCAAAACCAATCAGTTTGCATAAATTACCATCCTCCTCATCTTAACATCATAACGGATGTGAAAAGACGATTTTAAATTGCGTTAATTGCATTCGTTAAAATTTAAATGAAAGATTCAGAATGCTTCGCTCATAATTAACGTTGAATAATGTAGTTGGTTTTGCTGACGACTTATCCAACGATATTTCACGTAAGTTTTATAAATAAGTAATGCGTATTTTTCTTTTCATTTTCATTTAATAAAAAAAATATGAAATTGATTCATTTTGGGATTTTTTTCTGTTCCAGCGAACATTACGGAGACGATAACGGACGAATTAATGCAACGAGTGTACAGACCGGAAGTAGTAATAGCCGAGGTTAGGTACGGTGACCGAATCGGGAAGCAAACGAAACTCTCGGACGTTCACTCTGCAGAAAAATTGGAAAAGTTCATTGAGGACGTCAAGTATAACAGTATTTCGGCGTATTTCAGCGGTACAGTGGTCGTGACTAACACGCGTTTTTATTCCTTTATTCGCAGAAACGGGATCTATCCTTTGACCGCTTTCGGAATCAAACAACCGCCGTCGAGGTCCAGAGCGATGACGCCGGAATCCACCGAGTCGGAAAAGTCGGTTACACCGGAACCGACGGACGTCGAAACGAGGAAGATCGTTTCCATCGTTTGCGAAATTAAGGATGAAACACCGGAGATTGTAGTGAGTTTTTCTTAAACTTTATTGTCTTTTACATAAATTTAATTGAAAGGTAAAAAGTTCTTTTATGGGTAATGGTTTTTTGGTTGTCTTACAGCTGCAAATCGTGTTGCGGATGGACGACAAAATGAACAGGCAGTTGACGACCATCATTACGCACCAGGACATTCCTCAAACGCTTGCTCAAGATCTTGTTCATTATGGTTTTATTAACGAAGTAAGTAATTTCTTAGCATTTAATTTTGATTACAAAAATACATAAAAAATTAATTAAGTAGGTGTTAAGCTGCAATATGGAAAGTTATTGTACCCTTCGGGATTAATTTAGTTGTTTTACTTTACTTAAAGTTCGTGTCTAGAACAAAACTGTGTTGAACAGGATATTGCATGACATAGTAAGACTGAAATTATCTTTATTTTTTATTCATGTACTTGATAAATAAGCAATCGGGTAATAGATTTTATTATTTTTTAGCGAAACATAAATCCCATCCCACTACTGGCAACTAACATGCTATAAGTTACACCCTCTACCTGTCAGACATTAATAGTTGATGGTAAAAATAATTTAATCCACAACTATACAGTTTCGTGTTTCGTTAAAATTTTATTCCACGTCGGCAGAACAGGTTTAGTTAAATATGAAAACAACTATGAATCATCTACTTCAGATTCTAAGATTTATAACGTGTCCAAAATGTGCTCTATTATTTTAACACAATACAGTTAATACTACTTTTACTGATCTTCTAATTTTAAGGTCAGAGACTATTTAGGTTTCCTCCAAATATGTGGAATAATTAATTGTAGGAATCTTAATCTCACCAAAATGCTTTATGTAATCTGGCTTAATAAGAAATGTTATTCTGCCATGATGCCAAAAGAATTTAATGTGTTTATCAAAACATTTCTATCAATCCGACTCTCTATCATGCCACTTGCGACTCTTGCGCAAGTGGAAAAAATTCTGGATTATTGCTGCCAAGCTTCCTAATTAATATTAAAAGCTAGATATATCATACCATAGAAATTGGCATTTATTTGCTCTTGTGCTTGTCCCTTGGCACTACAACCTCAAGTGGGTTTTGACTTTTAACGTCACCTAATCACCTTTCCAGCGCTTTCTAGGTCTTCCTCTGGCTTACATGTCAAAAGCAAATTTTTACTTGATCTTGTTATTCGTCGATAGATTTGGCTGTATGTTGTCTGGTCTTCTTAAATCCCTTCTTAATCATAAAAAGTGTAACATAATTTTACAGAACCTTTGTTATGCAAATGTGATCAAATCACATTCAAATTCACAGTGTCCGAATCTGCACCACACTTTTCCCAACCGAATTCATTGTAATACCTGGTTGGGTTTGGATTACTTTTAGAATTTAACTGGCTTCAACTGTAAATACTTAAACTCAACGAAAAACTAAGCCAAGACATCTCCAAGGAACTTATCCATAAAATGACTCTACTCAAAACCAACCTCAACATTCATACTGCCCGTTCAATTAATCCAAGTCTAAGGATGTAATTATTCAACTACAAAGCATTCCAGCTCAACTTATTGCAATTGAATGTTGGCACGTGATTGGGTTGGGTAAAAAGTAATCCAATTCAATCAAAAACCAAGCCTAGTCAACTTCAAACCCATTAAGTCTAACATCAAAGATCACCAAAGTTGACCACAAAACTTGATTTAGTGCTAAAGCAATTTAGCCACAAAAACATCTAATTTATGTACCAAAAATTTCATATTGGTCGTTTCTAAGAATTCTTCAAGTTCTAATTTTTGATATTTTAAGCTTTTTTAACATTTTATTATTTGGAATCAATTATCTGGATTATCCTTTATTTGCCATGTAGCAATTTGCCAATTTTTTTAATCTTTGATTGAATGATTTTGTTAAGTTAATCGACACTTAACTTGATGTTAATCGAGCGTTAACTCAGGTTTTATAAAACTTAAATGCATCCTTGACTCAACTCCAAAGCAACCCGAAATAATTCATTCTAACTCCTAAGGAATGTTATCACAAAATAACATAATTATTGCAAAGTAAGTTAATTCAACTGTAATGCTTAAACTCAACCGAAAACTAAGCCAAGATAATTGCAACCTGGTCCAACCCCAACGTTTACACTGGACCTCAAAGTAACTCAATCCAACTCCAAAGAAACGAAATTACAAATTAACAATTGCTAATCAAGTTAACTCCACTCTATTATTATTATTATTATTGCTGCCGGGCTGAGGAGGGCGGCCCCTCTCGTTACCGCGACCTATAAGATCTATTGTAACTTTAGCCCTCCAAAGGTTTAGGGCAAATGTAGGTCCTTAATGAACCTTAGTATTGTCCTGAGGTCTTGAACCTTTATGTCGGTAGGTAACAGGGGAGTTTTACCGAAGACGTTGTGCCTTAGACGTCCTCTGGCGACGCAATTGCACAGTATATGTTCAGCAGTTTCTGACTCGTCATTGCATAGTCGACAGGTTTGATCCTCAGCTTGTCCAATGTGGAAGAGGTGGTATTTTAGGGGCACATGGCCGGTTAGGTAGTAACTCCACTCTAATACTTAAATTCAACCAAAAACTAAGCCAAGACAAGTTATCCATAAAGTGACCCAACTCCAAAGCAACCCAACGTCAACATTCAAACTTCCCGTTCAATTAATCCAAGTCTAAGGATGTAATTATTTAACTACAAAGCATTCCAACTCAACTTATTGTAATTGAATGTTGGCATGTGGTTGGGTTGGGTAAAAAGTAATCGAATTCAATCACAAACCAAGTCCAGTCAACTTCAAACCAATTCAATCTAATATCAAAGATCGTCCGATGTTGTAAAAGTATGTTTGAATACTAGATACGCAGTGGGCGCTGCTGTAACATTATTTTAAGGGGCTAAATTTGAAGTGTCTGGAGGTGCCCCATGTCCCAACCTACCCTATATTAAAATGTACTATATTAGGTTTTATGTCCATTAAATTTCTTTTTAACTACAATAAATTTGATGTCTCGTTGGTTTATAAAATATGGCTAATAGAAAGTCGTATATTAAATTGTATTTATTTTTTTATTTATTTCTAGCATGACCAAGCGAGGGTGGCAAGTGAAATAGAGGAAGCGATTCATCATAGGAATTCCGGACACAGTAGCCCTAGTCACGCGTTTCCCCAGATACCAATGCCCATAAACCCGCCTTGTCAGCTGAGCACGAATCCGCCGCCGCTGTCGGTGGTCAGCGCAGCGACGACACAAGTGCCCATGCACTCGACTAGTTAGTAGATACTGTCTCGACGCTATTCTTAAAACAACAAAAAAAAACAAAAATAAAAACCACACATTAGAGCCCCCACATTGATAACAAAGAGCAGGAGGAAGAAGCAACAGGGTCAAGAGGAGAAGGAAGGAGTCTTAAGAAAAAGCTAAGGAGAATATCGGATAAAAAATATATATAAACACACCTTGACGAATTTCGAGAAAGATTTTTAAGATAAAAAAGAAGGAAAATGAGAGAGCGAAATCGAGATCACTTCTCTGAATATAACTTTCTGTTATTAGTTATTCGTTAACGTTTTAAATGTTTATTTTTGTATTCGGAAAAAGAAAGATAAAATGAAAAAGATAGAGCTGCGTTTAGTAAAACTAAAAAGGCCAAAAGGATACGGAATTTTTATAAAACGCGAATTATCTCGATCGTTAATATACGTTGTACGTAATTCACCGTCTCGTTTTACTTTTTTTCGGTTTATTAATCAAGAGATTTTTTTGATATCTAGCTAAATATTTATTGAAAAATTTTGACAGAATTATCCAAATTTCAAAACATTAATAGAAATAGAAAATTATAACAATATCGTGAAGCATTTGAGAGGATTAAAATTATTTTTTTGAGTTGATACAAAAAATATGTAATTGTATTCAAGATATAATTCACAGTTTTTTTTGTATATACGTGTTCGTTTTGGTTTCTTAAATAATTCACGTTTATTTCAATTGAAGTTTAGTTGATTGAATACCGGATATCAGAGTATGATAGATTTTATTTTTATTGATAACTTAGTTTTTTATTAATTCAACAACTCTGTTATCTGATTAATGTCTACAAACTAAATTGAGTAAATCAAATCAAAAAAATTTTAAGAATAGATCACAGAGATATTCAGAGATTTGCAACAGGAAAGTAAAAAAAAAGAAACATAATTTATATTAAGGTTGGAACTATTATCTGATAGACTTTTAGAAGTAAAGACTGTAAATGCCGGACATTGATATATAGGATTAGAGGTGTGCTAGTCAAGTGACCACAAGATATCTGTGATCAGAGCTCTGATGACAAACCGCACTGGACTGTTTTTATCATCATAGGTATATGTTTATATTGTATGTATTATGTGATCAGTTGTTGTTCATAATTTTTTGTACTTGTTCTGCAATATGATCTGTACAGGTTCCCTTCGAAAATCGGTAATCTTCAGTGTATCATCTACTTTATTTTCTTTCGCTTCATTTCTTTAAAAGAAAACCATGCAAGATCATATTTTTTAATCTGTTTTTATGTCAACTAAGAATATTTTCATGACTAAATTATTTATGACACAAAAATGCTATGAACAATTATTTTTAAGGATACAAGATTTGTCTCAATTATTTCTTAACTCAATTTTTCATACAGTATAAATAAGTATCAATGATGTTATTTTTATTTTGAAGAATCATGATTTATTTCTTTGACACATTAAATTTGACCTTGATAACTTCAAAGCAGTATTAAAAAATTATTTCACGACAAATCTTTTATCTGCTATGAACAATTTCCTACACTTAAGTTATAAAGACACCTTGCATTTCTTTTAGATAACATTTTTTTATATATTCGTTCACTTGAGGTGCTTAAAAAAGCTCATCTCCCAAAATAAAAGACAATTTAATTTTTGATCATTTCCTCATTATTCAGTTTCATTTTTTAGCTATTAAAATATAAATCATTTCGCTAAAATAAGATCTTACACGCTTAAAATTATGACTTGCATGGAACTGTAGATTTACCATCGAAGGAGATTTAAAAAAAATGTTCTTTACGACCGAAATGTAGGCTTGACATAAAATTTTTTAAAAAGAAGTTATGTCAAACGTACAATTCGACGATTCATATCTATAATAAATATAAAAATATATATATTATACATAAAAATATATTTTAAGCTTCCGTTTTTTAATTGAATACTCGTGTTGCAAAATGTATTATTCTTTGCCCTTGAGACTGATAATGTAATTTAATAGACGTAGTGGTTAGTAAATTTAAAAAAAGAATTAATAAAACAAAGAGATTTGGAGAAAGCTATGCGAGGTTAGGATCAATTTTTTGCTTGAAATTGGTCGCAAAAATGATTTAAAAAAATGAGGGATGCTCTAACGATTATAACGCTCCAACAACATGCAATTTAAAGCTATAATAGGCCTAAATTTTTAAGCTTCTTAACATTTTTTGGTCTTAAATCAATAAAAAAATTTAATGAAATGTATTCCCGTTTTTCGCAAACTATGGAACGAAACGAGCTTTAAAAAGCATGTTATATGAAAAATGAATTATAGTCAAGAAAACCAACAAGGACGTAGGACTTATGTAAATAGCTAAATTATGATACTTTGTATTGAAGAAGTGTAGATAATTACTTTTGTACCAAAATTAGTGAACGTTAAGAATTAATAAATTATTTTAAATTGAATATCTATTTCTGCTCGTCGATTAGCAGCTGCGCCCGTTTTCATTTAATTTTAAATGAACAAATCAACTTTTAATACTAAACAAAAGAATCGAAGAATTAATTAATAGTTAGAGATCCCGGGTGATATTACGCTCAAATTAAAAAGAAAAAACAACACGTGATGAGAGTTCTGCTTGGTCATTTTAGTAACTGGTTAAAGTAGTGATGATGTTCGCTATTCGATGATAGTCAATAATTACTAATCCACTTCGATCAATCTCCCACAAATTTTCAATCTTTGTCTTTCATTTTTATTCTTTAAAAAAATCTTTATTTTATAAATATTTAATTTTGTTTAAAAAAAGTTTCTTTATCAAAAAAATAAGGGTTAGTTTGGGTTTGCAGTGGTAAAGCACAGTGGAAGAACACGATTATTATAATTACAGTGCTTCTGCCTTAAGAGCGACCTCGCCTTCATTTCCTAGGAAGCTAAAAAAAAATCATTGCGAGTTTAATTGTGGATTGTAAACTGCAATAGACGAGTGGAAAGATTATAATTAAAGCAGCTGTGCCAAAAGCGGTCTTGTCTTTAACTTTTTGATATTGGTAAAGATATAATAACATCATGGCCATAATACACTTTTGCCTATTGCACAACATTGGAGTCAAGGTCGCTTTGCGGGCGAGGCGCTACATTATAGGTCGTAAAACCCAATGGAAAATACAACGTAAAACTCAACAGCTGTGAGCTTTATTTATATGGCAGATTGAAGTTATCCCCACATGAATGAGTTAACCCTGAATGGTTTTTAAAACGTGTTCTGATATAGAGAGTTTTCCAAGGTGTTTAAATTTTCATTAAATTGTGAGGTCAATCGCAATTTAAAACCATTTCATTTTACAACCAATTAAACTTGTTAAACTTTTGGAAAAAGGTAATATAAATTAATTAAGAGCTGTTATTAGTACTTCATGACTTTGAGGCAATCATTATTACTTGACGGAAAAACTAAAACTCAAATTAATCATCAAAGTAGCAAAACTATCCAAATTTCCAAAAATATTTCATCTCAACGAAGTAATGTATTTTAAGCGTTTTACATATTCTTCCAGGTCTTGATTTGTTTTCAAATTTGTTTCGATTCTGTATCTTCTAAAATTAATTCGTTTGGATTTAAACAAAATTTTGTGACAGCTATTAATGCACTTATAAATGTTGCTGTCGTTCAAAATTTGTACTGGACTGTGTCACCATGCAGATGCAAAATTTTTAGCAAAATCAAGTTGATAACTTTGTCAACAGCTGTTAATATTTTTCATGTACTCTAAATACAGCGTAATAAACATCTAAAATACAATAAGTTCTGGGATTGTCTGTTATTAACAAAGATCTAAACAAAGAAGTGTCATCCTCTCTTCTCCAGACCAGTTTTTTATTTTTGCCAAAATTTTAGGAGAACTTTACAAATCTCTGTTTTGACCATATTCAATTTTCTGCGATAATCAAACAGATACTTTTCTTTGATTTTGTCTAAACTTGTAAAAAAATTGAGATATTTCGTCTTTATTAAGTGGCACAATCGTAATAATACTGGTTAACTCTTGTTTTTATGGTAAAATGGATAGATTTCTTTTCAAAAAGCTTCACAATCAATTTTTAACTGTTCTTGGAGTAGCTTGCTTGAAGGAATAATTTCAAATATATATGTATCAAAATTTGTGCTAGACTGTGCAAAAAGGTGTAAAATCATCAAATAACATCTTTATCCATCAGAACGGTTTTTGTTTTCTTAAATATGTTGATAACTTTGTATGGGTTGGGTTGTTACTATTTTTCATGTACTTTAAATTAAAGTGTTAAAAACATTTAAGGTGCAATGAGTTCTGGATTTATCAAAAAAATATGATATTTCATCAACAATTACAGAAGTTATACAGTTTGGTGTCGAAAATCGTGATTTGAAATACATAAATTATGCTATTCCTAAAATGTTAACATAATCAGCCTTCTCTGCAACCAACAGTTACTTTTCAAAAATGTCAGTTCTTCCATTGAGTTTATTGAACAACATTTCGTTTTCATCAATTCTCCTGCCAATGGCATAGTAGTGTCTGTGAGCTCTATGTGTTACATCAATTGCAGAAGAATTCTAACGATAATTCCTGCATATTTGGTAAAAACTATATTTTATTTCTGTGTTAATTCTTGCTCAAGTAGTTGTTGAATTCAAAAATTAGTCCAAAACTTTTCCAAAAAGAAATTGATTTGGTGCAGAATTGCAGTAATTTCAGATATCTTTATGACTTTTAAAGGAAAGATATATTCGTTGTGTAAGCATATGTCATAAACATCTAAGAAAAGTTGGACTGCTTAAATCAAACGTATAATCTTGGTATCAGCACAATTTCACTTAATTTTGACACAAAGTAATGAAATTTTGGTGTGCAGAAACCCTTCATTAACAATCTTAAACACCAAAAGAGTCTAAATCTTAGTGTAGCAATTCGCATCTTTTTGGTAAATTAATCTGTCAGATAAATATAGCTGTTGAGTTCCTAATGAGTGTAATAGAATGCTAAAAGAGTTAAGTTTTATTAAAAACAATTAGAGACAAATTACATATAAAATAAAGATTTTTTTAAAACAAATTCCTTTTAGGTTCTTCCTATTTTAATTTTTTTTTGATAATTAAAAGCCGTAAATTGATTGAAGGAAGTTCGAATGTTATAAAATAAAGCAGTCATAAAGAAGAGGAAAACATGCTTTAGTCACTACTAATTATCGAGTAATATATTAATCGAAAACAGCAAAAAGTTGAACTAAAATTGATTTGGAGACAAAATTTATTTGCTATTTTTAGTTAATATAAAACTAGATATAAATAATTCACTTTTTTTTAATACAATGTATTGATCTTCCTTAAACACGGAACAAACTATGCAGAGGAAAAAAAATGATATTATACATATATATTCTTCTAAAATAAGCTAAAATAACATAAAAAATCATATAGGTTTTTTTTTAATTAATTTCTAACTAACCCACTTATACGATTTTTTTATTTAGTTAAATTAAGATACTAGAGTCGCTCTTATAAATGTTTAAAATAAGTGTTCCTTATCGAAGTTACTTCCGCTTACCCTTCTTATAATAAAGAAAATTAAAGGGTAAAAAATGTTTAAACCGATAAATAATATTTTAAACAAATATTTTTTGCGATATCTTCCGAATAAGAGAAAAAACGTAAAAACCCGAAAAAGGTAAGGTAAAGGGTAATTTAATAACCATATCCTTACTAATTAAGAAACCAACAAAAAAAAACAAAAAAAGTAAAGATCAGCTCTGCATTGTTGTTCCCCCGCTGGCTCATATTGAGCAGGAATACATAAAAAATAGAAATCCTTTGAGGAATGCTAAAAATGAAAAGTAAAATACGAAAAAAATATCTTTAAACTATAAAAAGCAAAAGAATAAGACTTGCATTTACGCTTCTGCCAAAATCACTTTGTAATTGTTGTCCTGTGCTCTACGTTCATCTAAAATATACTACTTTTCTTGTTCTCGATTCTTGTCACCTTATCTTGTGTGTTCAGTGCATTTTTTACATTTTCTTTTAATTTTTCTTTAATCATTTTACATTCAATATACATATTAATAATATACTTTTTAATTGCCGCCTTTATAAGAGGTAATTTTCGTATAATTGCGATATATATCACATAGAGTGTAGTTTTTTTCCTGTGTAACGTTTTTGTATAATCATTATATCGATAATATATTTAGGTGTAGATTACATATTCTTTTTTCTTTTTATTTCTCCGTTTTCTCTGTTTATAAGTTTTCCGTTTTCTTTTCTTTCTACGTTTTCATCGTTTTTTTTCTCTCGATTACAAGAAGTGATATATGGATAACAGTAAGTAGGATATTTTAGATGAAGAGTGATAATTATTTTTTATTATTATTATTATTAAAAAAACTACGTTATATAAGTTGTATTGTAATATAGAGTATCATATACCACAGGCTGTTTACTGTATACCTAATTTAAATAAATATGCAATATGGACAATTTTATAACTCTTGTATATTTATTTCGGTATTCTTTTTATTATTATTTTTTTTTTGAGAGAGGGAGAAGATATCTTCAGAGTGCGCTCGCGATTTAGTAAGTTGAGATGCCATCAAAAATGTTCAATAAATATTATTTGAAAATAAGATATCATTTTTATTTTTATTTTTCTGCGACGTTATCATTTTATTATACCTTAACATACAAAATTCCTTAATTTATTCAATTTTATAAATTATACCTACATAATGTTAAAAGAAAGATTTTTGTTAACAAATTAGTCCGAAATCCGAACCTTTTTTGTTCTAAGTCTGGTGTTTGTTCTACTTTTAGTTCAATAAAATTGTAACAACAACCTGAAGCTAAATGACATCTGAAACTAGAACTAACACTAGACCTAAAACTAGAAACATTCGGGTTTAGCCGTCTTAAGAGACGTTCGGCTAAACCAGAATGTTTCTAGTTCCAGGTCTAGTGTTAGTTCTAGTGCTAGTGTCAGCTCTAGTTGTTATTCAGCGTTAGATTGTTATATATTTTTATTGAACTAAAACTGGAACTAGAAACATTCTGTAGTAGAATTAATGGTAGAGTTTATTGGGTAAGTACTACCTTGTGAACTCGCCTAATGAAAACTTAAGTGGTAGAGTAGAGTAGTTGGTTGTGGTAGAGTAGAGTGGTATAGCACCGTGGTAAAGTTACTCTACCACTTCAGCGTCTCCCACCATACCTTTCAACTCTACTCTACCGCCACTACAATAATGAAAACAGCGTAGAGCTAGTCGAGCATAGAAACTTTGTGTTGAAGTATTTAGCGGCAAAAACTATTAAATTAGTAGAATTGTACGGTGAATTATAAAACTAAAACGAACATCTACGTACCAAGCAATAGTAGCTGAAAATGCCTGTTTCTTATCCTGTTTCTGCACAGCTTCAGCTTTTTTAAAGCTTAACGATGATGAGATGAGCAGGGTTCATTCTTGACATTTCAAGTTTATCACTATTTACTATTACCTTCTGTACCATACTATTTTCAATTTAAGTTAAAACAGGTACTCTATCAAACCAAGTAGAGTAAAGTTAGATCGGCTTAAAAGTACGTAAGATTCATTATAAAATTTTTTTTTAATTCAAAATTTTTCGTTCATATCCAATATGTCTGATTGTTGCCAACATAAATAAACGTCAACAACAAAATAGATTACCAATTTTAATTGATAATTGATTTATTAATTTTAATAATTATTATTACAATAAACAAAATAAAACGTTTATTTATTCATAATATATTCACATAACCTTCACCGTTAATTTTATATTTATTAACCTCTCACTACCAACCCCTCAAAATATTAAACACTAAATAAAACTAAATTCAAATTTTCTCTAACCGATTTAACTTTAACCTCAAAAAAAAAGCTCAATCGAAGTCATAAGAAAATTATGGATCCCCTTAAAACTCCAGTAAGAAATCGTTTAATATCATCAAAAGTAACGATTCCAGCTTCGCCGTTAATGAAAAACTTGGGATATGGAACGGGTATTTACCTTTTTTAATTTATTTATACCATTTTCATTAATTTTTGATTTCTTTTAGGTGTATCAGTTTACGAATTAAACAGAGCATCTCCATCGAATAAAACTCATTCTCCATGGGCAATAAAGAAAGTTTCAAATCATAATCGTAACAAAAATGTACTCATGAAACGTTTATGTGATGAAGCGTCCGTTTTAAAACAATTAAAACATCCCAATATTGTTGGGTTTAGAGCTTTTACTACTGATACTAGTGGAATAACTTGTTTAGCTATGGAAGCTTGTTCAGCTTCCTTAGGGGACTTAATCGAGACAAGATACGAAAATGGTCAACCTGCTTTTGAACCGGATTGCATCTTAAAAGTTGCGATTGATGTTGCTGATGCATTAAATTATCTTCATAATGATGCTAAAATTGTTCATTGTGATATCAAATCATATAACATTCTTGTAAAGGGAGATTTTGAAGTTTGTAAGCTTTGTGATTTTGGTGTGACTTTGCCTTTAAATCCTGATGGAACTGTTGATAAGAAAACGTTTGAAGATAATAATAGTCCTGGAACTTTACCTTGGATGGCACCAGAAACATTAACAAACGATATTGTTAGTGATAAAAGTGATATTTATTCTTATGGAATAGTAATTTGGGAAATGTTGGCTTTGGTTCCTCCACCATTACAAGAAGAGGATTATTCTCTTTTAGACGATTCAGAAATGAGTCTTGATGACAGCGACTGTTTAAATATAAGAAAAATTGGAAGCAGACCTCAACTACCCCCACAGGAATTTGGAAAAGAATACAATCATGTTTTAGAGTTGTTTCATTGTTGTACAGAAGAGGATCCCAGTTTACGACCAAAAGCAAGTGATCTTGTTTTGATAGTGAAGAGAATGAATGAGTGTCTTAAAGATTAAAAGGAAAATTTATTTTAAAGTTTTATTTTAATTTAAAAGTATAATAAGTAAGATTAGTATAATTATAATCGAGGATATGATTAAAATTATTTTTATCTGAAAATAAAAAAGTAGATTAGAAAGTGATTTAATTATTTTGTTTAAGTTATTTACCTTTCCTGTTGTTCTTTTCTTCTTTTTAGCATTTTCCAAGTCATTATTAGCCATTTCTACAGCATGTGTTGAAATAGCAGCATGATATTCAGCTCTATTTATTGATTCTTGCTGCCAAAGAAAAAAAATTAATTAGTTTTTTATAAATTTGTGTTGCTATAAAAACTGTAGAAGGGTTATTCAAAGTGTTAATAGTAATTTTATTTTCAATGATTACAAGGGCGATGTTGTAAAACTTTTGGAGACTTTCCTACAACAAGGACTATTCATTTTACAGTCACAACTACTACACAAGTCCATCTTTGGCAAATTATCTTTTTAAGCACATGACAAACTCCACTACCTAAACTTAATATTGTGCCCAGACTATCAGAAAGTACTTCCCTTCATAATTTCCTCCGCAAAGTGGCGATGCTGTGTCTGCTCTCATACAAGGCATAGTAAAACAAAGGGCAGAATCGGGATTCATGCGCAAAGATTGTGAAGTTGGGCTCTGTGTTGGACCATATTTCCAAATATACCACGCACAGATCAAATATTAGTAGTAGCAGTAGAAACGGGGGGAAAGGCTAGACTAGAAGAGAATTAATTGAAAGCCTTTCTTTTCAAATGTATTGGAATATCGCCAAGTTTTCCATAGGCTGTTCATGTGAGAGAGAGCTTTCTGTTTACTTCGCTTGAATATCTCTCGATACACGAACTTCATGGCCAAAATATACATAGATATATATTAGAACTGGATCCAAAATTTGGCATAAATATTGATATCTAGCTCAACTCGTACACACATCCTATAATTCGTCCATCATCAGTTTCATCTCTCAAAGACTATCTGAAATAAGAACTATCTCGTTTGCGAAGCGCAAATTACTAAAATATTTGCCGTTTACATATTATTGGGTCCAATTCAGCTGTTTAAATGCACTCAGGACTGTGATGAACAATTTCGAGTATGTCAATACTTTCATGCAATTTTACTGTCATTGTAGTATTTTTGTAGATGTTATAATTAAGTTTAATGTATCTAATCGACTCTGCAGTTTTGAAGTGCTTACAAAATGGTCATCAATTCAATTGTTTCGATAGCCTTGTAAAAATATGTGTGTGTTATACTCTATTGTCTTCTCCATAAGTATCTTCAAGTATCAGAAGGTGGTCATTTGTTCCAAATCTTTGGCGAAATCCTAGTCTACTGGCTGATATAAATCAATTTTATTTCCCAATCCAGTGGTTATAATTCTTGTGAAAAGTTTATAAAGATGTTATTGGTCGATAATTTTCTGGTCCAGGTATGGCACTCTTCTTATGGAGTAGGATCACGATGGAATTATATGCCATTTATTGAGAATCTTGTTATTGTTAGGAAATATAATATTTCATAGGAAATAATGCGTATTGACAAACTTTTTTAATAAACCTGGAATCTCGAAACCTAGACCAACAATCTCCTGATTAGGGATTATCGTTGTTCATTCATTGCTCCTTTATCAGCATTAATTAATATAGCCATTCTAAATTCAAAGTTATACCACTTTTTCAAAAAGATGACCAGAGCCAGGTTTAGTTATTGTCGCCTTCCTATTATAAACAATTTCACAAAGCTTACATTTCTTTATACCGCTTTGACGCAAGAATTTCAGTTTGATAGAACAGTCAGTACCAACTTGACCATCTTGTGGCAGCTTTTAAGCGAACCCTGGATGATCGCACCAGGTGGATCATTTGATGTTCTGAATTATCACTTAATATAGCCATTTTAAATTCAATCTTTTCAAATTAACGGATATTCATCAAAGTTATACGACTTTTTCAAAAAGATGACCAGAGCCAGGTTTAGTTATTGTCGCCTTCCTATTATAAACAATTTCACAAAGCTTACATTTCTTTATATCGCTTTGACACAAGAATTTCAGTTTGATAGAGTTAGTATGAACTTGACCATCTTGCGACAGTTTTTAAGCGAACTCTGGATGATCGCAACCAGGTGGATCATTTGATGGAGAACATTTGATGTTGTGAATTATCACTTATTGTTGAAGACTAGCGCCTCCTTAGGTGTCTCTTGTTAGCCATCTCCTTTAGGATCTTCTTTATCTCGTGAATTGTAATGTTTATCAATCTGCTGTTAATGTTATCACCTCTGCTCGGTTAAGCATACGATTTTAAACTTTCACGTCTTCAGCAAAACCTGGATAAACTCTTATCACCAAACAATTATTTACAATTTTTATTGCAGGAATGATGGAGTTATTGTGGTATTCACAATACTAGCGCTTAATGTGATCAGATATAAAATATTTATATTATTATTCCTACTTCAATCACGATATATTTAACATAATAATAGGTTTTAATGGGACAAGGAATAAAGAATATTTAACAAACCTGTTGATCAACTAATATAGCAATTTGTATAAACAAATCTTTAACTTCTACCAATTGACCCTCAATTTGTAATAACAATTGGTGTCGTTCTTCAACATCTTTTAATTGTTGTTCAGCTTCATGTTTTTCAATTAAATACTAAAAAGTAAACTACATTAACCATAAAGATATTTTTGAATGAATCATCATTGTTGTAATTTTTACGTTTCCTATAAATAATTGATCTTGATCTCCGCCAGTTAACGGTTGAGTTTCATCGTAATCGTCCCCTTGCACCGTTTTCTGTATGCTGTGTTTGAAATGTTCTAAATTTGCTTCGTAATGTTTCATAGCGTCGATGTATGAATTTAATGTAGTGGTGAATCCTTCTCTTAAACTGGTGTATTGCATAAATTTCATTTTTGTATTTGCTGTAGTTACTCGTTCAACATCCTCTTTATTGATGTGTAACTCTTTAAGTTTTTGATTAATTTTTTGAATGATTTTATCGGTTTCTCTTGAAATTGGTTTAACACCATTTTGCAAATCTAAAAATATTTTTGAAATTTTTTACCAAAATAATAAATAACAAGGTACTTGAACTTACCTTCGAATTTGTAACATCTATTTTCTTTTAGAAATGCATTGATTTTTGAGACGTTTTCATTGATTTTTACGAAGTTATCGCGAACGAGGTCGCATTCTTTTAAATAATTTTTTATTTCCTTATCCATTTTCTTTTCCTTACTTTTTTCGGAGTTGTCTTGTTCTTCATAGTTTTCCTGCAAGTGTATAAATAGTTTTAGAGTCACTTTAAACTATTTTTTTTACAAAATATTACTTGTAATTCTTTTAGTCGGTCGCGAGCAGGCATATTTTTACGTTATCTACAGTTATGTTATCAACATTATATTTTATCTACTTTATAAATTGTTTACATATAGGTGTACCTTATTCTATTCGACGAAATTTTTATGTATCACCATACCTTTAAATTATTTATCGAATTAAATTATTAACAACATATTATTTAGTAGAAAATTGAAGAATTTGTTTTTAGGAAGGTGTAAAAAACAATGAGTCATACACAGGTGAAAAACAAATAAAATAAAAGTGACCTTGTGGGAATTAAAATTATTCACTATCAAGAGTTGACTGCAAAATTGGCTGCCTGTTTTCTACACTAATTTATATTGAACCAAATGAATTATGGAATGTTAATAAAATTGTGTATCAGAAAATGAATTATTTATTAATAATTACAAATTGAGAACACAACATAACACATAACCATATAATACAACAGCATTGTTAAAAATACGCAATAAATATATTTTGATATTCAAACAAATCGCAATAACAACAAAACACAAGTAATTTTAATTATAACTATTTACAAATCCTCAATTTCTCAGGAAGATAATACTTACAAATGTACTAATTAATAAATTCGAATGATTAGATAGAATTAGACATTAACTTGGCATAACTTTTCGTTTGAGTCCTATGATAATGTGTTAATTGTACTATCGTACGTGCATTCAACCCGGATTACTTAGCTTACTATCGGGTTAAGGCACAAGTGCATCATCAAGGCGGTCTACTTTTTACTTGAAATTAACATTTTAGATCTTAAGTTCAAAGCCTTTTTATAAATTCAGTCGGTTAAACGGGAATAAAGGAGTTAAGCTCCTTAACCCGGTGTCATTTCACGTTATTTCTTGGCGTACATCCTTTAAGATAATCGTAAACGATGTTGTGTTTGTGATGCAATGCAATTTCCGAGGGGAAATAACCCTCTTGATTTTTAAGGAAGGGATCTGCTCCCGCTGCTATTAGTTGTTTACAAACAGGGAGACTCCCTGATAAAGCAGCTGCATGTAAGGCGCTTTCCCCATTCTAAAAAAGAAAAATAATTAATAATAAAATTATTTATGTATACTTTGTTATTCTTATACTGGAAGCATTCCTAATGATGGTTTATACTTTAGCAATTCCCCAACTACAGCAGAATGCCCTTTATGAGCCGCTTTAAATAATGCTGTCGCTCCATCCTAAAAATAAATAAGATTAAACAAAAATTAAGGGAAAAAGGGAATTTATTTTATTGTGTTATTACATGTCTTGCAGCATCAACTCTTGCCCCAGCTTTTAAGAGTTGCGCCACGATGTGGTCGTGACCCATTTGTGCACTAATCCAAAGAGGCGTCGCTCCGTCTGTCCTTTTTGTGTCAGCTTCGGCTCCTTGGGCCAACAGATAAACTAGAATTTTATAATGACCATTCTGTGCTGCTATAAATAAAGGGGTTGCTCTGTCCTATAAGAAATTTATAATAAAAAAAATTATATTTGTATTTATACATATTAATAATTAAAACAAATTTATGAAATAAAGATTTCAATACAAAAATAACAATTTATAGATTTTCAGCTTTTCCCAAATACTTTCATGATTTTGTAAAAACAGCTAAATTGCCTTTCTTAAAAATTGTTTAAAAGACTGATTAGAATAAGGGAAGTTTCTTTCCACAGAAATGTCTTGCTACCAAGTCTCGATGGTTGGGTTGGGTTGGGCTATAATAACCCTGGTTTCTATGACCACTCTTATGGTATGTACATGAAATGATCGACTTCTTGGTAGATAAAGTATTATTGCGAAAGACAAGAATTTAGTACGATTAGAACGATTGGTAGAGATTGTTTGGGTTGCTAAAGGCTAAATTGTGTTTGTCACTTTTTGTCGTGTTGGACATAATGATGAATCGGTATCATTAAATGAAACTTTGTGAGACACTGAAGATTCTTGCATACTTCTTTGCTATTTCGCCATCACTGGACTAGAAACCTCATTTGCCACACCCATTGGAAATAGTAGCCCCATTGTAGCCAGAACAAACGGGCAATATCTATCCAAGTATCCTGAAGACTTTGTAATTTTGAAGGGGTTTGACAAAAGTTATGCAACTTTTCTTTGTATTGACCTTTTCGACGAAACCCATGCAGCTTACAATGGCAGGTGTTCTAGAGTAGAACAGGTAAACTCCAAGTCACCGCCAGTATGTTAGTTTCTATGGAAAAACGAATCAAAAACATTCCAGAGATGCCGCCAGAGGATATTTCTTACCAAAATATCTGCGAATTTACGCGTTAGTATATCTCAAGATATCGGTATGTCGTGTGTTAATTGAGAAGAATAACTTTTGCACCTAAAACGAGTATACGCTTTCAATTCAAACCAAAGGAGTGGTACGAATAGAGCCATTCAGTACAAAAGAGCAACTACTGCCTTACACTCTGATTATGATCCAGGAAAGCTATTTATGTTGAAAACGGTCGCAAAACCAATTGAAGATTTACAGTTTACCTTACAAATGAATAAGATCCCTGTTATGGATGCGAATTCTAGAATAATGAAACGGCAAGCAGACGCAGTTGTCTCTCTTCTTGCAATAGGTTAACTAATACTACAAAACGTGATATTCTTGATGTCGTGATAAATTTTGGCTCTACACTTGCTTTCCTGCAACATACCACGAAGGATGACTTACTCATGGTTAAGTAACTATGAGTGCTATTTCAAGATGACGTTTCTATGAGGAAGGATTATTAGTCTTTAGAGTACAGCTCCTAAACAACGCGTTAGCTTAACTAGGCTAAAGAAATATAAAAGTAATACAAATGTTAATTTACATTCCCAATTATATTATGATTATGTTATTACGAGTATATTACGAAAGAAAGTTGACTGATGATTACTCCGTTATGTAATTTTAAATAAACGACTTAACATTTAAGTCCATTATTGTGGTTCTCATGGTCATAAAATGTTCACCAACCATTAAAAATTGACCGTAATTTAGAGACAATCACGACGACGCGACTTCGACCTATTTTCATTGCACTAGATACTTTAAAAAAAGAACGCAACGAGAGCCTGTCGAATCTAGCACGTGACAATTATTTTAATCGTCGCCGGTGCACTTGTTATGTTTTCTTTTATTGATCACGTTCATATTTTAAAACTGTAAGTCAAAGTGGATCAATTGAGAGAGTCAGCGGCGGTTAGTTTTTGTAATACATCGATTTTTACGAAGATTTACGGTTAATTGAAATAAAAAGTTTTCTGGTGGCATCTCGGCCACGACAACGGGATAATTAACAGATGCATAATATGAAACTACCGTAAGCCACACAGTTAGAACTGCTTACGTATTGTAATAAGTAAACAACATGTCTCTTGTATAAATGTGTTATGAAAACGTGCGAACAAAAATATGTAAGCACCAAGAATAGCTTTTACCTTCATATGGGTATTTACTCTTGCTCCTTGTGAAATTAATTCTTTAACTACGTCCATATGGCCACATTGACAAGCTACAAATAATGGACTTCCACCATCCTAAAAAAATCATAATTGTAGCAATACAATAGAAAGTAAATAATTGAGTTTCTATGATTGATGTTGTTGCGTGAAAGTGCAGCAGCGGCCGAAACGAATTGGCCTCTACACAAAAACAAAATCAACCAGAGTCCTCGATTTGGGTCAATGGAGCGGGGGAATAACCGAAAGCTTGACGCGGTTCTCAAAATAAGAACCTGCAGGTTCAAAGTCCCGTCACGTCGAGGCGAAATTACGCGGTTTTGATGAGGAAAACATGAACGAAAATAATACCGACCACACTCGCCGTGTCCACCGGTGCCTTGTTGTCCAGCAAGAGTTTCACTATGTCGAGGTAACCGCCTTGACAAGCAAAGAATAATGCTGTGGTTCCAGTCTGAAACAGAAAACCAAAAAAATTAATAAAGCGAAATTTATTTATTTCATTAATAAATAATTTTCAATTTTTAAATATTTTAAATGTTACAAAATAATTCAAAGGTCAGTTGGAATTTAGTGTAGAGCTTCCTATCGGTGTTTTATTGAAATGTAGTCTCAATCGATCCTTGTGCTACTAAAGAAATTATGCGGGGTCAAAGTTGGCAAAAGGCATGTTTTCGCAAATGTCTCCCTTTTCGTCCGTTTTGCAGAACAAAGAGTACTCGTGATTTGGTTTTATAAAGGTCGCCGTTTTGAAGATAATTTCATAAATAGAGTTACTTGACAATTCTTTGTTTATTTTATATGCTTAAAATGATAATGATGTTAAAAAAATTAAATAATAATTCATTTTCAATGAACATTACTTATGGTGAGTTGAGTTATTGTTGTTATACTGTGCAGCAAATAGGAGTCTAGGAATTAGCAGATTTGATGTTTGAATAATTTTGTCAGTGTGTACTGGCGAATTAGAAAGGCTAGATTTGAAGTTACGAATAGTAACAGTAAGTTGCAAACAGTATTTCAGCAATATTTCATCACCTGCAAAAGATCGAATATTCAATCAAGTCTTCCATTAAGTATGTAATCTTGTGCCACCAATATTTAGACTTTTACTACTAGCGTGTAGTGTTCTGACAGCAATATCTAATCTTGTATTAGCAATATGATGTTTTCTGCTAGCAATATTTAGTCTTCTACTAACACTGTATAGTCTTCTGTCAGCAGTATCTAGTTTTCCGCAACAGTATTTAATCATCCGCAAATAGATATAATTTTTCAAAGCGATTTTCTATATGGTTCTAAATATCATATGAAATTAGCACAAATTTTGACCGTGTCTCACCCTCAATTTGCAATCGCAATCCTTAAGTTCAGTTTTATTGTTTCATCCACACAGTATTCAGATGATGTTTGATACTGTACTTATAAAATAAGAATATATGAGAATATAAAAATTAACAAAACGGTAAATCAACTAAAGTATTAAAATCTTAATAATCCTTTTACAACATATTTTATTACTCAGCGAATGATACAAAGAAAAAAATGGCCAATAAAGCAGCCAGCTTTAAAATCGATCCCGTTATAATCTTCGAGTCTCGAGTCGCGATTTTAGATCAGCGTGAATCGTTTCATATTTATGAAGAGACCGTCGAATACGTCGTGGTGTTTTGGTCTCCTTTCACCACATCTGAACCTCGATTCCATATTAAAACGAAAAACATATTACCTGTCGCCCGATGTCTTTACGATTATTCTTTATTTCCGATCCAATCTCGAGACTATTTTCAACAACGTCCTACTGCGATAAATTTCAATTTACTGTTACGAATACGACGGTACACAACGGCGACAATGCGGAGAAGAACACCTACGTACATATTCTTGAGTACAACGAACATGATAATAACTTTAAAACGCCCTCTCAACCGGTTACTTAAGTGGTTTACTTTAACGGTAAAACAAAATATTAAAATAAATCTATATATTTTTTGTTTTTAATATAGATAATATTGAGTTTCTAATAAACTGTTTAACTTTGCTTAACTTTCAAACAGTTTGAATTGGGAGGTAAAAGAATAGTTGGCGACTTGAAACAGAAAACTTTTATATTTATGGCTCGACTCGTGAGCGTGTTGAACTTGTTAAACCGTGGATTTACGAAGCAGAAAAACGGTTTTAAATCGTTTATTTGCGTGTACGCAACTTGATTATTTATTATCCCGACCATTAAGAAAAAAAATTAATTGAATTACATGGTGTACAAGAAATTTTTCTGGACCGTGAACTCGACTTCACTTTAAAAGTAACAGTACAGTAACCGTCTCACTTTTTATTTTAAACAAAATGTTTTAAGAAAGTTTTTTTAGTAACTGGATAAAATCAGTTTCTAAAAAGAAAATACTAATTAACATCAATTATTAAACAAATAATTGCGTTTTGAAAATAAATTACTAAACACAAATGTTTTTAGTTTTAGGTCTAGTGTTAGTTCTAGTTTTAGTTCAATCGAAATGTACAATAATTTAGCGTTGAATAACAACTAAAACTAGAGGCAACATTAGCACTAGATTTTTGTATATTTATATTGAACTAAAAGTGGAACTAACACTACACCTAGAACTAGAAAGATTCAGAGATTTTCACGGTAAATACATCTAAACTTCCACTAACAGTATCTAGCATTCTGTCAGTAATCTGGTCTTGTATTAGCAGTATCTAGTCTTCTAGTTGAAGTATTTAGAGTTTTGCAAACAGTATTTCATCGCCTGCAAAAGATCGAATATTCAATAAGGAGTATCAAGTTTTCCATTAGAAGTATAGTAGTCTTCTGCCAGCAATATTTAAACTTTTTCTACCAGTGTGTAGTCTTCTGACATGTCTTCTACAAGCTATATTTAGTCTTCTACTAACACTATGTAGCCTTCTGTCAGCAGTATCTAGTTTTCCGTAAACAGTATTTACTCATCTGCAAATACATAGATCTAGTTTTCTACAAGCGGTTTTCTATAGGTCTAAATAAAACTAGAGCTAACATTAGCACTAGATTGTTGTATATTTATATTGAACTAAAAGTGGAACTAATACTAGACCTAGAACTAGAGGCATTCGGGTTTAGCCGTGCGTCTCTTAAGACGGCTAAACCCGAATGTTTCTAGTTCTGGGTCTAGTGTTAGTTCTAGTTTTAGTTCAATGAAAAATATACAACAATCTAACGCTGAGTAACAACTAAAACAACCTCAGTACTAACATTAGACCTAGAACTAACAGTCCGTTCTAACGATGTCCGTTATATCGAGGTTTTACTGTATTTTGTTTATTAGTGCCATAAACATTGATCTAACGATAAATTTAACGTTAATTGATAAAGTTATCATAAATTATTGTATTATAATATCTGAATAAATAATCAAAGATAATGAATATCCGGTTGTTATTGATCAAAACGAGAACGAAATCTTACCACTCTTCTAGCTACTGGACTTGCCCCTTGATCTAAAAGTTCTTGAACGCAGTCGAAGTGTCCATTGGCAGCTGCTAAAATTAGTGGAGTAGTTCCTTCCTGAAAACAATTTTTTTAAAATTTTTCTTTCTTTAAGCTAAACATAATTTTAAATAACAAAATTTATTTTTGTAACTTAATATAGCGCGAAGCCATAGCTCACTAATTGTCTCGAATCTCGATTACGTGTTGGATAACAGACAGTTTTAATCCGTCTAAAGAATAAAAAGAAACGTTTATAATTAAAAAAAATTAATCCTTGTATAAAACTTCTTTTCAATTCGGAGCAAATACATTAACCGTTTCAAGGAATGGTTATAAACAATATTGATTCTCTTCGGTATTAACCAATTGCGGTCATGTGTTCCAATAAAAAGATATAAAAGGTACAGTACCGTATAGGTGCTAATAGAAGATCGGTTTTGTATCTCGCACGTAAGTGCTTTATTGGCACTTACGGTTTTATGGCGTGCCCCGAATAGTTTCTCCAATCCACCAGAAACTAGAACTGCGTCGTAATAGAAAACATCTCGTTACTATTTTTGGAGAATTAATTAAAAGGAAACTGTCGATTCCGAGCGACGGGTTTTCGTGTAGTTAATCGAGTTTGATTTTGTCTTGTTCGAAATCGAAATATCAAGGCCAAAAAAAATGTTTACGTAACAAGATTCCACAACAAATATTTTAACGGGAACATGTTTTTTTATTTCTCACAGAGACAGACGTGTTGATTAGTAACTGGATTTAATAATTGAAAATACACAAAAACAGGATTGAATCGAGCCGTTCCTTTTTCCGGATTAAAGTAATTGAAGCATGGTACTTAAGCCGCGATGGAGAGGAAATGGAGTTGAAGTATCAATAATAAAATCTACAAACCTTGTTTCCGGGAAATGTTTTATTATTAGATTTCTATCTTTTTTTATTGGTTAGTAGAAAATCAAACGATTTTAAATCAACCATAATTGGTTTCAAAAAACTAACACAACTTGTTAATACGATTATTATTAATTTTTTACTATAATAATGATAGGAAGCTAAAAATAGAACTTAGGAAATATCGTAAACACGCAAAAACTGTCTGCTTGTTTTTACCTCGATTCTATTAACATCATAATAATAATGCAATTTTCTTGAATATTTTAATGAAGCATCTGACGAATTTATTACAACAAAACACTCCATGTAAGTTACGCTTGGTAGCAAACGTGATAAATAAAATCAAGGTCCTGAGTTGCACTTTTCAATCGTTTTAAAGTTACATTATAATCTCAAGATTGCACCGTAAGAATTCTAAATGGTATAATAATTTAAAGTATAAAAGTGATGTTAGTTTAAAAAATTTAAAAAGCGAAACTCATTTCCTTGCGTTCGATTATAAACTTTAGACTTTCGTTGTGTTAGGTAACTCGTAGTTAAAAACCAAGCACGTAAACACGCAAAAAACTTTTACTTGTCTATTTTTTGTTCGTTTTATTTAATTTTTCTTATAAAGTAGATTTTTGACGAAAAAAACTTATCTAAAAAAATCAATTAATGTTTACTTGCTTAATGCTATAATACCGAGATTAAATTGTGAAAATTTCAGGATTAATTGGTATTAAGTTTTTATTTAGAAAACTGTTTCTAGATTGAAAAAAAAGATTTTTTAAATGTATTTGTTCGTTTTTTTTTTCTTCATCGAGATTTTATATTAAAAACAGTTACAAACAGAAATTTACATTGATCACAGAGGAAGCAAGCTGGATAGAGACTGTAAAGGTAGGAAAGACAAAAAAAGAAAGAATAGTAATAGAAAAAAAAAACTAAGCAGAGAAGAGAAAGACTGGGTAACGAGGATAATACATATAAAGATTATAAAGGCAAGAAAGAGGCACTTGAAAGAAACTGGTAATAGAAGAAAGATATTGAACAGAAACTGGAAAAACTATAAGAACTGTAACTAGAACAACGAAACTGAATGGAACCTAGAAAAAGGAAAGTGATACCAAACTGAGAAGAGAAAAATTAAAAAGATTGGTAAAAGAAGCAAGAAACCTAAGAGAAACTGAAAAGAGAAGAAAGAGACTGGGATAAAAGGAAGGATATTGCAAAGGAGCTCTAAAGACAATAAAGAGACTTGACAATGAGAAGATAAAGAGACTGACAAAGACTGGAGAAATAGTACAAATTGAAATGTGAGGAGAGAAGCTGCAAAGATACTGCAAAGGCAGAAAAGGAATAATAGAAATAAAAAGGATGACTAAAAAGAGACTGGTAATACAAGAAATAGACAGGAACTGGAAAGATAAGAAGGAAGGCTGGCAACAAAAAAAAAGAGATTGAGCAGAAACTGTGAATGAGATACAAAGACTTGACTGAGACAAGAAAGATACTAAGCAAAAAAGTAGAAAACTGGTATTAGAAGAAACTTATAGACTGAATGGAGAGTAAAAAGATAAGAAGAATTTGGAGATTGGGAAGAGAGGAAGGAGAGGGTTTGATAGAGAAGAGAATGACTGGAATGAGACTGGAGATAGGAAGATGCTGAATACATACTGAAATAAAAAAAAAGTAATTAAAAAGATAATAAGAAAGTGAAAGGAGATTTTTTCAATATTTTAAATTGAAAACAATATTTATGTTAATTAGTTCTTAACTGCAAAATATGACTTAGATTGTTCCTGGGGTTTTTGAGATTGTTTCTTAAATTCTATCACATTTATAGTTTTGTTATTATAAACACTCATTTATATGAAAATTTAAGGAAAATGTTTATTTCAAATTCTCTTCACAAAATCATCTTATAATCCTTAACTGTTTAAATAAAAATTTACTTCAAAACCAGTTTCGACACTTACTTACAACGTCTTACGCAATAACAAATAATCAACATTCTTCATCTTATAAGGAGTCACGCGTTAGGTAAGAGACATCGCGTTATCGACGATACATTTAGTATACTAAAAATCTTCTTTTTTAAGCATTTCTTTTTTGCTATAAATTTTATAACCCGCTTTCAACGTCTATTATAAAAAGCGAAAACTAATTTCCTTATGCGTTCGATTAAAACTTGAGACTTTCGTTTTTCCGTGATCAAAGCCGCGTGAAGAATTTCCGTCTAGAGCTGGATTTAATTGCTGAATATTTTCTCGCGTCGAAGCGCACCGCATACTCCTCCGGGCTCCGGACTCCTCACTCCATGTGAACTATCAAGCGAAGCGCATTCTAACTTTTTTTTTTATCTTTCTAAACCTACCTACAAACGTAAATACGCCTGTGTTTATATTCTGTTACGTAACAGACATCAAGAGTGTTTACGAAAAAATCTAAAAAAAATCGATCTTTTACTAAAGATGAACTTTCACATTTTATCTGGATTCAAATAATTAGGTATCTGGTACAGCCAAATAATTAATGAAAAACGAATACTTATATAAAAATTGGCAGTTGAGATAGAAAATCTCCACCTACGAGAGAAAATAAGATCATCTAATCTGGCTTAGGTTACAAAAGATAATGACATTTTCGATTGGAGTTAGCAATTCCAACCTAATGGACGCAGAAGAATCTGTCGCTTCCTCCGAAAGATAGTAAACCCATAGATCTCGAAGATATACATTTATTAGATTTAGGATAAACCCTAGAGCAGAATTAAAACCCGTATACAAGAATTGGCAGTTGAGGTGAAAAACCTACCTGACAATCCATCAATATACCAGAGAAAAGCTAGGGCAGCATCATGTAGCACTTACGAATGCTAAATTAGAAACTGGAAAGTTATTATAAAAGCAAAATAAAGAAAACACAAAATGTTGAGCAATTGGTTTCACTGGGTTAGGTTGCAAGAGGACATTTCCACAAATAAACAAAATTTAGGAGTTCCAATCCAACGGACATAAAAGAATCTTCGGGAGGAAGACCCTCGGAAGGACCCCATTACGACCGGAGGCTTTTCTGTCCATGGAATTTTCCGCTTCCATGAAGAACAGACAAGAAATATACGTATAACTCATATTAGGTCATTATCAGTCCAGATAACGTAACTGATTTCACATACATTTTACGGGAGGTGGCAGAAGATTTCACGGTGTATTTCATCGTCAAAACTATCGTGTTTGGAGGTTGGAAATTCAAGAGTGTTATTGTCGATTTTTGGCTGGAGTCGATTTCTCAAAAATACGATTGATCATCCAATAACACTTAATAGCGGTAGCTAATGCGACATAATAATCCAGATTTTTGTGCTTAAATTGCAAATTATGCGTGGCTTTAACAAGACACTGCCTACAGCCCGACGGAACTCAATTATTGCATGAGACATTTCCTGGCTAGGCCATGCAATTATTTAATGCCGTTGGATATTCTTAAAGATTTTTTGAAATTTAAGGTTATGCCAACAAATCTACGACCACCCACGTCTTCAAAGAGGAAGTATCAAAGCCACATTTATGCAAAAGAATCATGGCAAATTTCGACAACATGATGCGTATTTTCCAGTAAAGCCATTGACATAATACTCTATTGCAAATATAAACCTATATACAGTGTACTTTATGAAGCAACAAAAATTTCACAATTTTTAATTAAAAACATGTAATTTCTGTCAAAATTTTTAAGAAACATTTAATAACTTAAAACGAATTTTAATGTAAACAATATTATGTTAAGTTTAATTATTTAAAATGAAATTTAATAATCTTAATTACCTATTAAGATAATGATATGAAACATTCTTGTTGACTTTTTTTTAAGTTTATCCATATAAAGTAACGACGTGAGTTGAAAGTAAAAATATAGATCATTTGAGTGACTTACTTTGTCTTTAGAGTCTACGTGAACCTTTCCGCTGTCCAATATTCTTCTCAGGTGCTCTACATCTCCTCTCATGGCAGCTAAATGAAGTTGGACGTCCGATGGTGATTCTTTCTAAAAGAATTAAAAAAATTCAATTGAAATAAAAAGAAAATATTTGAAGCTATAACTTTGTTTACGTCAAGAATTGACGTCAATTTTTACAACAGCTTTCGTTTAAAATAACATCTATTTTAACCTTAACCATAATTTTATTCAAACCAAACACTAAAAATGAAATAAATAAGACTTAAAAATTATAGCCTACCTTTAATGACATGGTTATAGTTGAACTTTATGGTGATAATAGTTTTGTATTGGAAATGATATGTTTATTTAAATTTTTTTTGAATCAATACTGTGACGAACTAAATCGATTTAAAAAATTTTTTTTAAAACCGGAACAATTGCAGCGCGAAGAAAAACAGGTGAGAGTCGTTGGTTGTTTGAGCGAAATTCATTGGTCGCGAATGAAAGGCGACTGTCGGATTTCCACCGACAACGTCGATCCGATATCGAGCCAACCTTTCACGCGCGGGTTTTCAACAGAAATTTTACGCAAGCGCAAACCATTTCCAAAACCAACTTATCATAAATACATACTCACTCATTTTTGAAATAACAGCACCACGTATTATTCAGGAAGACAAACTTTACTATTAATCAACCAGAATTCTTCTTACAATTGCACCTCAGCGCCATCTAATAATAAAGTAGTCAATTAATTGCTTAATTTTCATTTAAAAATAATCTTCACTAAATTAATTTTCATAAATGTATATATAGAATAAAGTAAAATAATTATTATTTTTATTATTATTGTATGTTTAACTCTAAATTATAAATAAATTCTTTGACGTACTAATTAAACTACTTCATTTTGGTTGATAGCGCCCTCTATCCTTTCGGCGTTTGACAGCCATTTTGTGAACTTCTCTGTTCCATATCCAAACGTTGTAAGTATGAATTAACTTTAAATCCGGTTATTTTTAATACTTTAAATAATTAAAATATATTAAAAATACGATTTCCTTTATAGAAAACATAATCATGGAAAACGACGCTGGTGAATTCGTTGATTTATACCGCCCGAGAAAATGGTGAGGTTATGACCACGTGTTGTCGATATAAATTAGTGTTTATTTAAAACATCAAGATTATTTCTTAATTGTCTTTTTTATAGTTCTGCTAGCAACAGAATTATTCACGCTAAAGATCACGCCTCAATTCAATTGGCGATTGTTGATGTTGATCCCGTTACGGGAAGGATGACGGACACAACTAAAAATTACGCTTTATGTGGGGCTATTCGACGAATGGGAGAATCCGACGATTGTATTGTTAGGTTAGCTAAAAAAGATGGTTTACTTGCACCGTAAGTTAATTTTAAAAATGTTGATTTAATACTTATTTTTTAACTCCTTGTTTTGGTTTCAGCAATTTTTAAGGTTTATTTAATCATGTTGTTTATAAGATCTTTATATGAATAAATAAATCCAAAAAAATGTGAATGTATGGCGTTTCTCATTGAATTATTCCAACCTTAAAAACTGATTTTAGATTAAGAAAAATGAAAATTAGATTGATATTTAAACTTTTTTATGTCATAATTAGATGCACTGCTAAACCCCAATATTTCTAGTTCTATGTTTAATGTTAGTTATTATTGCTGCTGGACTCAGGAAAGCAGTCCCTCTCGTCACTGCGACCTCCAAGATCTATGAAAACTCAAGCCCTCCAAAAGTTTAGGGAAAATGTAGGTACTTTATAAACCTTAGTATTATTAGGAGAACTTTACCACTGACTAACTTTACACTTACTGTGATTGTGTAAGTGGCGTGTATTGGAAGGTTAATAAACTGTTATTAATAATAATGAATAACAAATACAACTTTTATTTGATGTTAAATAAATTATTTATTTTATTAAAAGTAGTTATCTGTAAAATGATTTGACATCACCGTTATGGTGTTGCCATCTATCGAATGTAATAGTAACGAATATTTGTTTTGAAAGGACCGCAACAAGTGTCTCAAATTAGTAACTATGGCGGAAAGTAAGAATGTAGCGATAGATAATTCAAACTCGTCTAATCAATCGGTAGTGAATGAACAAAATGGTTCTAAGGAGGAAAACAAGACTGACAAAGGTAACGTTGTTTGACGTTATTGCATTTTTCATCCACATAACCTTACTTGTGATTTGACAGCTGTTTCTTACACTTTTTATCCTTAGATATTTTTGCGATTTTTGCTCGAATTTCTCCGTTAATCCTTAAAATTACATTAATTTTCAATATATTTGGCTTACTTTTCATTCAAAATCCTAATTTATTAATCTTCTAAACGTGTTATAACTTTTATTTTTTAGGTTATGTTTTGTAAATATCGCTAGTTTAAACGGCTCTAATTGTTGTTTTTATTTATTTTTTTATTATTTGCAATCGGCAACGTTTACTGATGTTGCGTGTTTATTTCGTGTGCAGTTTGGTTTTGTTGTGTGTTTTACCTAGTGCATTTTTTTCTTTCATTGACTTTGGAAAATGTGTTGCTAATACAGTAGTATTTTTCTACTACAATCAGGATTTCTTTTCAGTAATGGAACCGTTGTTATTAGAAGAGGTGCAGCCTGATGTTCTGCCAAGAAGCTTAGAAACATTACAGAAATCGCTGCATCAAATGAATATGCCTTTGGATCGAGATGAATACCTCGTCCTGTTGATCCACATTCTTATGCTTGAAGTTGGATTTATTCCACATCACTCCACCGAATTCTACAATGAAGATTGGTGTCATTTTCATAGAAGACGAATTATAGCTGTGCTTTCTGAACTTCCCAAAAAATGGAAAACAAGCAAAACATCATTTTTGTTGAGATATTTTTTACCTAAATTTCTTGAAAATGAGTGCAAGTTAAGTTTTACTATGTTCGGAGATGATTTACTACTTAACTGTACGATTTCAAATATTCCGGAAGCAACATATAGCATTCTTTTGGATCCTTCCTTGTATATCATGACGTCTACGTTAAGGATTCAAAATAAGTTTCAAAATATGCGTCATCTATCAATAAATGTCAAAAATTGTATTTGCACTCCAGCAAAGCATAATATTTTGGTGCATAATGGATATCCAGGTCTTTATTTTGATAATCTTCCAATAGAAATTATCTTTCTCATTCTCAAACATCTTAATCCACTTGATTTGATACGTGTAGAAGAAACGTGTAGATTCTTTAGGACGGTTGTACACGATAAAATTTTATGGAATCAAATCAAAGATAGGTGTAAACTTTGCGATGACACTCTTTTACATTTTAAACATACAGTATATAGAAAGCGCTTTAAAATTTGTCGTCCAATTTTAAAAACGAATTATTTGCTTTAGATATTTTATGTTGTTACTTTTTAACATAAATAGGATATAATGTAATAATAAATCTCATTTAGTTTGTTTGTATATGCACTAGAAAATATATTTATACTTTTGATTTAATTGCCTTTTATTATCATTTTATTGATTTAGTTTAAATGATACTTTAGTAAATTATTTATCACAAAAAATTCGTTTTAATTTGCTTTTTTATAAATATTTTTATAGACAACGATTCTACAATACAGATGCCTTCTACACTGGACGCTACAAATTTAGGCACAACTGGAAGGATTCCTGATTATTCCAACTTCAATGGTGATTCTGGTAAGTACAAAATCATTTTAATTACGTTTTTGCTGTTATGTATTTAAAGTGTAAATAAATGGTCAAATTTTTTTTGCTGTTTTCTATTCTGTATTGATAAGATATAATCTTCAAGATTATTTATGAATTTAAAACATTATATAGAATGTCAAAGCAAAATGATATTCATTATAGACAATTATGTTATATTCACCATTCTTAGGGCCACTTTTATTACCACTTGATAAATTTATCTGATAGATAAATGCTTAAAACCGTAATTATCCCCTTTTTTATTAAGTACTTTTAATTTTAGTACAAAAAATACTATTTTCTATATATCAACAAATTTGACCACTACTTTACCATTCTTAACATCAAAACATTGTTTCAAAATTGCGTAGAACATAAAAATACCGTTAACTAGTTAATTTTATGACATGTGTAATAGATGTATTCCTGATTATATCAAGTTAGACAACCTTACAATATTCATTTAGTTACCGCGTTTTCAAACTACTTCAGAACATCATACAATATGTAGCTTTCTTGCACTTACTTAATAAATTATACATTAAAAAGAAAAGGAGAGATGTAGAAGTAAACTGTGGCAGAGCTTTTTAATCACGGCGACTAAAACATTACATCTTAACTATTTTTAAGGCGATTCAATTATTGCCTGGAATAATAAATAATAACAAACGCCAAATAATCCTAAGTTGACATCCAACACAGGTAAAAAAAAATTTACAAAGACTTATGAGGAGTCATTATTAGACATACTACTTGAAAAGAGGACGGAGGTAGTAGATGAAGAAATTCGACGAAGACCAGAAACTTATGGCTAAGATAGAAATTATAAACATACTGAGTCTGCACCGCTGAGGCAAGACTTTACTAACTTTACATCGCGACTCTCAGAGCTGCTAGTGTACCAACCTCAACCACACACCTCTTTTGCTGGTCCATGAACTCAAAATGCATCACCATTTGCACGATCCCCATCATTAAGTGGTGATGGGTGTTACATTAAAGCCAGTAAGATGTTAAAACTCATATGACTCATTGTAAAGCAATTGAAGAATTTGATAGGGTGGTCCTTTATGATTCATATAAAATTGACCGTTAAATAGTCGCTGACTGATCAAGGGATGAACCCAAAATGTCGGTTTTCTTTTTTCTTTTGATAATCAACGCACAAACACATCTGATGTCAGTAGCGTCCATGTTGAAATTTAAGACTACAGCAACTATCCAGTCAATCGTTTGCGGAGCGCAAATGTCATGGCAACAATACCTTTCATTTTATCAAAACCTTTAAGTCACCCCTTCACACACAATTAAGTTAATATCAGATCATTCTGTATTGTTTTCGTATTTCTTATATTATTTTGCCCATCAGCCTTTGGTCTGCTGTATAGGACGACTTTGCGAAGCTACAGTGAAAAAATTCATTCACAGGAACATTTACATCTCGTTGATCATGAATAAAAATTTCATCGATGACGAGGCAGGGAGTCTTATCAAGCTGATTGCGTTTATAAGTAACAACTTTGCTTCATGTTACGGATTTCAGGACACAATGCAGAATTATATTTAAGGGATACGATGACGCTCGTTTACAAAAGTAACAAAATCGGATCGAAACTAAAGCAGACAAATTATTATCTGAATAAACTCCTAATAAGTCAGACGTATGTGGGTTTAAGCGATACCATAAAATTGTTTTAATATTGATTTTGTCATCAAAATCTGCCCCTTATATTCAAAACTAATTACAAAAATTATTAAATCTGTTTAGATTTTAATTTGTTTAATTTTAAGAATCGAATTCTATTTCAACATTTAATTCTAAAACTATTAAATCGTTTCCGATTTAGTCCATTTATCCATAGGTGGCGACGTATCCAGTCTAATAATAAGCATTTATCGATCTTTTGGGGCCGTGCGTACCATTCATTTATCTCGCTTCAGTGCGTTTTTACCTGGACCAATCTCGGTACTCTATAGGGCAAGGTTATGCGTATATATTTATCCCCCTTTGTTTTACCCCGTCAGCCATCGATCTGAGCGTTCTAATTTTGTTCTTGTTCTCCCGGTCTTTTGGTTTCCCGTTATTTTCGTCAGGGTTATTTCACCCCGATGGAGGCGGCGACCTGTGTTGTCATTCATTTCGTTGCTCTCTCGCATCTACATTTCGTCTTTTGTTCTCTTGTACGTTACGTGAACGACATATGTGACAGGAACACGTGTACATTTGAATAAGAACCGGCGGAAACTGCCCCCCGTGTTTGACAAAGGCTCAAGTAGAGGAAGTATGACTATTGATCCTAATCGTGCGATGGTGTTATGATTTGTTTAAATATTAATTGCTTGGGAAAATGGGAATGACTAGTATAGTAGGTGGAATAGTAATATTCATGATAGAGGTATGTGAAGGAAAGGAACACACAATCTGGAGCGAGGTCTGCATGTTCCACCGAGATCCAAACCACCCTCGGGGGTATTCCACTATTTGCCCTGGATTATGTATGTGAACCAGTCCTTTGAGATCGCTCTCTGATGTTCCGTCGATTTCGCTGCAAGTTTATCGATTTTACTAAACATTAAGGTATTTTAAATAGATTATTTCTAAATATATTAATTACTTAATTTTAAATTGACAATTAAATGAACTCACATAAATTTTGGAATACCAAGAATAAATTTTTAATTCCACACCTCGAGTTAACTCCATTAGTTAAGATATAGGAGGGTTGAGTTTCCTTCTTGTTTTCTTTTCCCGTCCTGCGGGACTAGCAGTAGCCTCCTCACTGAATTCCAGTGATTGTCCA